CTAAAAACCCACATGAAATTGATATTTTCTATTCTGATTCAGGCCACTTTTCATATGTGGTCTAAATCAGATACAGGTCCTGATTTTTTGCAGTGTGACCTTAGTGACATTCATTCCAGAATTTGTGGCTGTCTCTTATATCCCCTAAGATTACTGATAGTCATCAGGTCACTTAAGGACTGTGACCTGTTCAAACTGGAATTTGATTATGGATCACAGTGAAAAATACTAAACAAAAAAAAAAAAACTGATCTGAGCCATGAATCAGAATTGGAGCACTAGGCTTGCAGTGTGAATGTAGCCAATGGATGCTTGATGAGTAAAACTACATAATTGACGTTGAAATAAAATCTCTGTTGTAAAAACAAAACAGAATTAACAAGTGAATGATTTTGAATACCATGTAATTTGCTGACCCAAATAGGAGTACTTGTGAGCCCTGGATTATTACCACTCTACAGCACTGACCGTTGTTAGGGGGTCCAGCATCCTGGTGGCTACGTACCACCAAAAATAAGTGTTCCATAATTAGATCCTGGTGGTTAACAATTGAGCTATCTCACCATGACAAATTCATGACAGGATGTTCCAGGAAAGACTGTGAGATTTTTTTAAAAGCTTTCAGAGAAAGCTAGTGTAAGTGAACTGTGAGTGAGCAACGATTAGTTAATTAACCTAAATAATATTAACTAAATTTGAATATTTATTGTGTTGAGTAATTTTTTTCCTAAAAAATGTCCAAATTTCCTCTAATTTCAGGATTCCTCAACTGTGAATATTTTCTCTTTCTTTAGTCCTTGCTGACAGTAAACCTTAATTCTTTGGGTTGTGGCAAAACAAAGACATTTGAGGACGTAACCTTGTTCTTTGGGAAAACACTGATCAATATTTTTCATAAATTTTTCTGAAACCCATTTTATGGAGTAAAGGAACTAACGGATTAAAATCAAGAAAACAATGATGATTAATCAAATCAATGTAAAGTAAATCATTAGTTGCAGCGCCTTGTTTGATAATTGATTTGATTGAAGATTTGATGAGCACATAGATACTGAGTGAGATTTGATACCTTCTATTAAACCGACCCTAGTAGTGGATACAATAGAGTAATTAGTAGGGCTGGGTAGGGAAAATCCGATTTAATCGATTTTGGATCGATTTCATTTAAAATTTGCAATATCATCATAGGGCACCGAGATCCGATTTTTTCCCCATGAGGTTTTTTTTTCGCCCCCATGAATTAACCCCAGTAGTCTCGTGCGTGATGAAAGCAAGCAGCGGTTTAACGTCAGGTTGATGTTCAAGCGCACAAGCGTCAAAACACAAAATCTACCGAGGCAGGTAAAACCCCGCTCAGCCAGCCGTCGTAAACTAAAGTCTGCATGTCTGGAACCATTTCGGATTTAAAACAAAAAGGACAAAGAGCTGGATAAAACCAAAGTAGTTTGCCGATCTGCCAAGGCGGAGCTCAGTTATTGTAGAAATACTGCCAAACCTCAAAAAACCACTTGACAAGGTATCACCCTAACGCTAACATTACCTTCGCCCAACAAGCGTCCAGGGCCAAAACAAAAGAAACTGAGGGAATCACTAACATTACCAGCTGATTTCTCCGCGCCTTCCAAGGCGGCCCCATTCAAGGTGCTCGAACCACAACTATGTTATGGTGTAACGTAGTAACGTAACGTCGGAGCGGTTTTCAACTGCGGGTGATACTGTCACTGGCAAAAAAGGAGCTTGCCTAACCCCAAATCCTGGGTCAATGAGCCCCTTTTCCTGCACAAGAATCTTCACAATTGTGAGAAGTGAGAACAAAAGTCCATAATAAAGGAACTTGACTTTAGACAGTTTAAGTTTCTTTTAGTTTGTTTACCAATTTATTAATTATTTTTTTTGCACTTTATAAACAATGCCTTAATGCAGTTGCAGTGATGGAATGTTGTAGTTTCCAAGTACACTTTCACTTGCAATTCCTTTCTATAATTTCAGAATTGCCACTTTTGAACTTTTACTTTATTTAAGAGCAGATTGAATTGAATTTGATCGAATCGAATCGTTGATTATCGTTCAGAACCTTATGAATCGAATCGAATCGATTAGGAAATTGGCCACGATACCAGCCTAGTAATTAGTGTTTCGCTGTTGCTGACTAGCCCTAGTAATTAGTGTTCGCTGTTGCTGACCTCCATCGCCATTGTCTTTGGTGTCTAAGGTAGTGATGCAGCATAGAGCACATCAGCTTGAAAACAAGTAAAAATGACCTCTCTGCTAGCAGAGTGGAATATTAACTGACCGGTCGCCATGTTGATTCCCACGATGCTAAAACAATGGAGCCTTCTTCTGCAAAAACCCAACTCTGCGTTAGAGTGCGTATGTGTCTGTTAGGCTGTTATGTGATTGTATTAAATTTGAATGAAGCATGCCAACCAATCACTTAGCCACTGTTGACAATAAAAACAACAATGCTCTATTGTGTCAGCCTGCAGTTAGTGTGTGTGTGTGTGTGTGTGTGTGTGTGCGTCTTTGTGTCCGTGCTTCTAATTTGTTTTGCTTGGCTGGTTAAATTGAAGGCGTTTGTTATTGCGCTGGCAGCAGAGTGTGTGTGAGTGTATGTGTGTGAGAGAGAGGGAGACTGTTTGTCAGGGATCTTTAAGTGTCTCAGAATGAAGTCAAGCGAAGACAAGAGTGGAATCAGAGATGCTTTCCCTCCTTCCTTGTCATTCTTTCCCTTCATTTATCCCCCCTTGCCTCAGTCATTTAGGTAACGATGGAACAACTTTCATTGTCAAATCTGATTGGTGTCAAATCTGATTGGTGCCAAGGCTGAGAGATGCCAGATATTGATTGGTTGTGAAAGTGCAGCTGCAATGAGAGAGGGAAAAGGATTTACGTTATTCGCAGAACCATGTGTTTTTGATATCTGACCTATCTGACATTATTTTAGATATTTAGATCATGTACTATGTATTGTATGATCCTATTGCAGAGTACACACTTTAATTAGAAATAATTAACTGTCTTTTTAGGTTTTATAAAATGCAGATTTTTATGGACGTACTGACTAATGTCAGTGTTACATCTGCTATACAGTCAAAATTCAAGTGAATTGATTTGAAATGTAAGACTAAAAGACGAGAAAGAAAAGGTAAGGCAGATAGGGGGAACAGAAAGACACTTTGAACTGCTTTAAATGTGAGCTCTTCAGAGTCAGAGGTGTGAGAGACAAAGAAAAAACAGTTAATTGTCTCCCATGAGGTGAGTTTGGCTCCTGTTAAATCTAAACCAACAGCCAAACAGTGGAGAATCCCTCAGGACAGCAGAGCCCTTTGTTTCCAGACCGGATGGAGCAAGGAGCAGGCAAGAAAAGTCATAAGAGTGAGCTTGGCTCAGGCTTAACATCTTTTTCACTTTACATTTTTTCAATTAGTTTATAGAACTTAATTATTCTTAATTATTATAGGCTATGTTGCTGCTCCTTTCCATAGTGGTTGCTTGTGAATTAATAGAACATCATGCTGGTGTTGGTGTTCTCTCTCCATTAGACAAAGATGGAGAATAATAAAATAGTATGTTTACTCAAGTACTGTACTTAAAGGTTATATACATGAAAATCACTTGCCACTGGACGTTGCACTAGGGCACTAGCATTTCAGACCAAAACAATGGGACAGAAATAAAATTCACCATCTCTGATAGTCTTTCCAACAATCAACATCTCTGGTTTGGTAGAAATGTACAATTAAAACTAAATGGGAGGGAAAATGTCTGTTGTTTGTCAAGTTTAGAATGGTACTGACTGAATAGCAGAGGAGTCTTAAATATACAGGATGCATTCCATTTGGTTTCAATAAGACCACACTACCATATATGTTAAGATACTTTGAGTAAATGTTTCCGGCAATACGCCTTTGATTCTGATTGGCCTTTAAAGAATGGAACAATAGTGTTGCACCATCACATCTTACTGCATCACCATCAATAAACACAGGGTGTTAAATATATGTTGTCACATAATTATTCATGCAATATACACAGCAATTTGTATACACTTTTCTAAAATAGCACCATGTAGAGCTGAGAGATTGATCGTTTCAAAATCATATGTGAGATTTATAATAGTGCAAAGAGCTGAAATTTGAATTAGTCTGTAACTCTATTTACTGTTGACTTTAATGTTCAATTCAACCAGTATAAATTTCACCAGCTATAATAAGTGTCCCTTTTAACTGGAAGTAGTGCTGGCTGGTATGACCAGAAATGTATTCTACTGCTAGGAATACAGAGTATAAAAACATTTTAATGTCTTCTTGTAGATACTGAAGGCTTTACCTTATTACCATAATGTTTTCTTGGCCTCAGAAAATGATATATTATATGAACAAATCAGAATGTCAGCAGTGTTTATTGTGCAAACTGCAGCATAGTAAAAACTTAGTAAAGATGTGCGAACAACTTTAATATTGCTTCCTTTTCAAAACAAAATAGTTGTACAAACACTAACACATCCAATGCTACTATTTGATAAACAGTACATGATACAGGACTTGTCAGTTTTAGCAGGACATACAGGTGAAAGTCATCAGCATATAAGCAGATAAATATTATGTTGCTAAATAGGTGTTAATTTAAGGCTGAAAATGCAAAAAGCACCACCATGCTGGTGTTCAAATGCATTAAATCCATGAGATGAAAGTAGGACCGGCTGTTTCAGAGCTAAATTAACTCTGTAACAAACCTTCGACAGAGTACTCAACTGCAAATAAGTGCTACTCAAAATCTTCAAGGTTTAATACTTAACTAATACAACTTGTTTTATTCAGGAGCAGAGCAGGTTTTACTGTTGGCTCGACGGACTGACCTGAGGAGAATCTCTCTCGACCTGCCAGATTTCACTGACATAGTGCTACAGGTAAACACACACACAATACACACACACAAACATATCAATCCTGGCTTCATCTTCATGTACTGATCGTAGTTCCTCTGCTACTACAGGTCGATGATATCCGTCATGCCATAGCTATAGACTATGACCCGGTTGAGGGTTACGTTTATTGGACAGATGATGAGGTTCGGGCCATCCGACGAGCTCACATCGACGGCAGCAATGCCATGATGCTGGTTACCACGGAGATCAACCACCCAGATGGTATTGCTGTGGACTGGGTGGCCAGAAACCTGTACTGGACTGACACTGGTACTGACCGGATTGAGGTACATCTGAGACTTATTGTAGAAAGCTGTCCGTAGAAAACCACTATTTAAGTGTTGTTTACTTTGTTACATTACCCACAGCCTCCCTGCACATTGTTTATTTTAGACAGAAGTACTGTAAGTATGTTGTACTTTAATATTGAATTGTGTCGTGGTATTCCAGGTTACCAGGCTCAATGGGACCTCTCGGAAAATTTTGATTTCTGAGAACCTGGATGAACCCAGAGCCATCGTCCTGGACCCTATTAACGGGTAGGTGGTGTTAGCATATGTGTGGAGCTAGCCCTCGCAGCAGTGAGTTCATGTTGTCAGTAGTTTTTCTGACAGTTAGCGGGTAATGAGGAATTTGGGAGTTTAGACTCTCACTAGGTCTCTATGCCCATTCCAGAGTTTTTGTCCATGTTGGGAGAAAAGACAAAATAAAATAGAAAAAAAATCTGATTTAGATGCTAACTATAGTCCTGCATCCCAACTCTGGGGGCAATACCACAGAGGGAAACATCTGGTTGATCCTGATGGTTTAGATAAATCCAAAAAAGATAAATACCATTGAACTCCACTGGCAATAAGCTTGTATTTCTTTAGGAATTATATAATGATTGAGCTGTAGGTATGTGAAAATTTAATTCACATTTTATGTTCAAGAATCTTAAAAAACTAAAATGGATAGCCTCAACATAATCTACATATTAGCTAAAAAAAATTGTAAAATGTGTTATTATGTGTCTAGAAGTAAGCTCCGTCTCCCTCTCTGCCTCTGTCTCTCTCAGCTATATGTACTGGACCGACTGGGGGGAGCATCCCAAAATTGAGCGGGCCAACCTTGACGGAATGGACCGTGTGGTTCTGCTCAACAGCTCTCTGGGCTGGCCCAACGGACTGGCTATAGATTATGCAGCAGAAAAACTCTACTGGGGAGACGCAAAAACTGACAAGATAGAGGTATGTCTATACAACATCTAAGCGTGGTTTCAGCAGCTCCTCTTTAGCTGGGACTTAGCTGAAAGACAGGACACAGAGCAAAAGGAAGAAATCAGATGTATGTACACGTATGTGTGTTTTAATTCTGATCCAAGGGAATGTGGAGTTGTGCAATGGTTGATGAGATTTAGGAACAGCCAAGAAAGATAATTGAGTCTGTTTCCCAGGACGTAAAATACAGACACTTTGGGACCCTGGGAATAAGGCTCAACAGTCAACTATCTTCAAGCTTCCAACCCAAAGTGTCTTCATATCTTTATTGGCTCTGATTGGTGTTTTTCATTCAGCCTTTGTGGATTCTTGCAAATGCCATTAGGAGTGCTAGAACGAGACAGAGGAACCTGATTGTTTCACAGATTATCTGTCTCGTGTACTACTGTCAGGATATAGTGAAAGTTTCAGCAAAAACGAGACAAAAAAAAAAAAATTTAAAAAAACCATTCATTCTGCGAGGCTCATGGACGATCGCCCCATGGAAACTCGCAACCAAAATTCTATACAATGGGGACTTTAATAGTGAGTGGCCAGGTCTCCGTAGACGGGGTCTGCTGTGCACAGCGCATAGTGCTCGTACTACGCATGCTCCATGGCTTCTCTTCCGGTTTTAGTGTATTGGTGTGGCGGCGTCACAGCGCCACATACAGGCCTGGCATATGTACTACAGCGTTTTGGGTCGTTTTCAGTGAATCCGTGTGGACGCAGATATTACTGGAAACGACGCCGTGTATACGGAGATTTTTTTCGAAAGCGACATCGTATTGGGTGAGGCTGCGTATTCGTGTAGACAGGCTCTCAGTCTGAAGGCTGTAAACTGTCCATCAGCAGCAGACTGAAGTTCTCTTCGTGTTCGTGTTCCTGTGAAACATTAAAGGAACCTGATTTCTTTTGAAGCTGCAGAAAGTCGGTATTTTCACAGATTTCCTGTTTCGTGTTGTTTTTGCAGAATCTGCTCTCTGTTTGAGTTCTTCTGTCAGGACAG